GACCAGATTTCTGGACTGGACAATCAACAGTCTAATTAAATTTTGTTGTGCTTTCTTGCTAAATGACGACATAGGAATTCTAATTCTATCAGTATATGCACACAGTCATGTCTTGATTGGCTATGCCAGACTCTTTACATTTTAAGATGACAGATTGAACAGTGTGCTGTGAGACATTCAAAGTGTAGCATGTTGCTTATAGCATAACCAAGCTGTAACCTTCACCACAGATTTATCCCTGACCCTTGTCTTCCTGATGACCTTTGTGGCCCTCTCTGAATATTTGGACAATCAGAGGAAGCCTGAAGGCAGTTGGTTGCACTGGATTTTATTTAGTGTTTCTAAGATTAAATAGGGCTTAATTTTAATTTTTTTTTTTTTTACTTTTTTCTTGGGGAAAAGAATTTTTGAAAGCCATGCATGGTTTTACATTCACTTCACCCTTTCGCGCAACTTTATGTTGATCCTATTACATAAAATCTTAATAAGTTCCATTGACATTTGTTGTTCTAGGATGAGAAAATGTAGAAAAGAGTTCAGACGAGAACGGAAACTCCTGTAAGGCACTGTATATCTCCAGCTGCACTGCAGACAGGCAGCAGTTAATGGACCTCCAGAACACTTGAATTCCCCCCCCCCACCCCGTTGCTGGATCACAGCCCACTTGGATTGTTCTGCCATTGAAAATAAATGCGGCCACTCTCTCATTTTCAGCATCTATTTCTTCAAATGCCTTTTTAATGAACAAGCGAAGTCACTCCATGATGAGCCACAAGACACACATGCAAATACGCTCTTGGCAGGGCGCATGGAGCTAGATGAGCTAGACCCTATAATGATTAAAGAACCCTCATTTAAACCCCCACGCATTGCATCGCCTCTGATCAATTAGCATGATTTACAGTGGCGGTTCTGGACACTGACGCTCCTGTAAACACTGACTCGGTGTCCTATGGCGGGATAGACCTTCCTTCATCACACCCAGGGGATGACTTGTGGCAGAATGAACAGCCATTTGGACCCTCGTCTCTTTCCGCTGTGAGTCTTTGCGTGGAAATATGAGGCTTGAATCAACGCTCTGATGACACACAGCCATCTGTTGTTGTGTTAAGTGTGTTAGGGCATGAAGTGGAGAGAAAACACACAACTAATGATATTTTTCCCCCTCCTCCCTCTCTACTTTCTTTAAAAAACACAAATTTGAGGTGTGCAGCTGTCATGGTGCATTAACAAATGCACTAATGCAAAAGAACACACCTCCTTCCTCTCCCCCCGCCACCCCCTCAAGAGTCGCCCCGTCCTGAAAATAGCAGAACTGAGTACTTTTTCACTTCATACAACCAAGCTGGGGATACTAATAAATAATAGACAAAGAGAGAGAGAGGAGACAGCGATAGGACGACAAGTCAATGCTTCTTTTCTCTCCAGCCTGCGTGGCACACCTCTGAAGAACCTCTGAATCTCTTCCATTCTCCACAGCAAAAGAGGACCAATAGATTAAAACTGCATGGCACACACACACACACACACACACACACACACACACACACACACACTCACATACACACACGGCTAAAACGAACAGTGCTAAAAATACATCCCTTTCACTGAGACATGAAAGGAAACTGCCTTTCCCCTGTCCGGTATTGAGCAGCCATTGATTCCAAGACAAAGGCTACACCTCCTCAAAGAGGTAAGAAAAAATAGCAATCATACAGGCAATTATTTTCAAATGTGCCTGCAGCAGCCGATAATGTCAGCGTGCCTCTCGCTTCCCTAAATAATAAAAAAAAAAACGGGAAGGGAAGGGAAGGCGGGCGTCGGGACTCCGGGTCTGGCTGCTGAAGACGAATGAGCCCATCCAGAAAGCGCTCAGGCTTTCATCTGGGCAGCGTGACACGGTGCCCCCATGCAGAGTGAGGCAGAGCTGGGCCTGGGGGACAGACGTGCACGTAAAAAAAGACGGGGGGGGTGGGAGAATATAGATTCTCAGCTCAGCATAGTGAAAACAGCGACAAGGCAAAGACCTTCTAAGACCAGTGGCCACATTGTCAGCAGCTCTTCTTGTAGGCGAGACTCACAGGAACCCCGCAGCCTGCAGAGCAGCTCTTTCTGTGAGCTCTTTAAAGCTGCTGGACCAGAAGCCGAGATTCGTTTCCCTCCCCTCTCCCTCTAGAAGTCCCTGTTATACCAATGCCCTTTCATTTTGATGAGGAGCAACATCTGAGGATAGGGATTTAGAAGGCTCTCTGCTGGGTCTATCCCTCTATGCTAGTGTTTTGAATAGAATCTTCACTGGACTTACTTCAAAGGGGAGGGAAAAAAAATGTAGAGGCAGAAGTACAAGGGGAAGGGCAACAAAAAAAAAAAAAAAAGCACAACCTGAATAGAAGTTGTTGAAATCGAATCAGACAAATGCACATAAAAACAAACATAAAAACTTTTTTTCTATCATGGCAGCCATTATAGCCCTAACACACAGTCCACCTCTGGCTCGTAGAATTGCTTACGCCCCAGTTTTCAAAAGTTAACGGATGGAGAGAGGTAGAAAATGGAAGCAGCTAAGCATGGATAAATGTGGAGAGATGGACAAATGGGTAGACAGAGCGGGGAGACAGAAGAGAGAGAAACTCCTCACCTATTTCGAGCAAAACTTATGCGCTTGAGTGAAAAGCCCTGTGGTCTGTGCCTCCAGGCCCTGAGCCCATGCTTGGCCTATCAGTTTGAGATCAAAAGCTAGCTTCTGCAAGACATACGGACTGAATAATGCATATGATTTAGTTCCACAAGGTTGAATGGAGACAAACGGATGCAACACTCGCTTTCCATGTTTATTATAAATGCAAAAACAAGCATTTATCTGTGCCTGCCTGCTGCTTAGACTTGTGTTTATCTCAACAGTTTTTTTTTGTTTTTTTACATAAACTAGCTAGCCTATCTGCAGTTGTGAGTCTTAGCAATGGGACAGTGCATACATTACCTTGTAAGCATGCTAGAGAGCAGCTTTTGTGATGTCTCATTTGAATAGGTTGACAGGCAGGGGTGGAGGAGCTGCCTTGTAATGAATTATAAATACGATGCGGGTGAAAGATTCCCCCGCAAAAACTGCTGAGAAAAGGTGAACCAAAAAAATAAAATAAAATAAAATAAAGCCACGTTCAGGGAGAAAAAAAAAAAAACGAGCAAAAGCTTAACCCGCAAGAGGTGGATCCTTCCACAGCAAAACAGAGGATGCAAAGACAATGGCTTCATTTCTTCTGCAGGGAATGCATTCATGTCATAAACCACTCAGTCATATTAATTATGGCAAAACATTTTCTTCTAAACTGGCTAGAAATGGGTGACTGAAAGATGCAAAAGCCCTGCTCTTTCACTTGGGATTTAAAGTGTATGTATGTGCAGGGCCTTGCAAAACCATTTTTATGTGCTAGATCAACACAAAGTTGTGCAGAATTTTGAATCGGAAGAAAATTAAGACATTGCTTTCCATATTCATTTATAAAACCAGGACTGGTATGCATGAGCGTCCGGCCTTCCTGAGTAAATATTTCGCAGACTCTGTTGTGATCAAAGCGGCATGTTCCTTGGGGAGTATCTGTACTAGGTTTTGCACATTTGGAGATGAAAATTTTCTCACTTTTCTTTGAAAAATAAACAAACCTGTGTCAGATTGGATGATGTCCATGAACATCCAATGTTTAAGACTCGCAACAGATTCTCAAACAGAAAGTTTAAGAATCTCTAGTTCCTGAATTTTATTGAGGCGACTTTTTTTTTTACATTAATATGCATTAAACCATTTCATTATAGCTTTGACTTTATGTTTAGAGTTGTTGTCTTTGCACTTCTTCTGAAATATCTAAAAGTTGCTGCCCAAAGCATGACACTCCTGTGTTTCACACTGGCCATAATGTGTTCTAGCTAATGTACAGTGCTATTTTTCTGTAACACATAGTGGTCTGAATGTTTAATTTTGGCCTCAACTGACCATGGCACCTTCATCCACATGTTTGCCTTGATAGAACAGCTGTATCTATACCGAGACTCTAATTGAGTGACTTTCTGAACGCCAATGGTTGTGCTGGATTTTATCTAAAGCAAAATGGAGTGGATTGCAGTTGTACACTACTTTTAACATTCCTCATTTATGGATTGTTTTGATGACCACATAACTTTGTCCTTCCATTTCACAAATTTAGCACAACTTTGTGTTGGTTAGTCACATAACATTCCAATAAAATCCATGTTTTCAAGAGGAATGAATAGTTTTGCCAGCCACAGTGGATATGCAATTACAGTTAAATGCATTGTCTTGTTTTTTTGAAAATAATGTAACAGTCCAACCTGCAACAAATCTCAAACTACAACAAAGAACTCTAGCCAACAAACATTCAATCACTGTGTTGTGGTCGTCATGATCAGTGTCTCCACCCTATGAGACAGTTAGAGCCCAAACGCAATTTCAGTTTGGAAAGACTCACCCTACTTCTCGCAATAGAGTTTGGAAGCCCTGTTATATTCCAATGGACACAGTTCTCCTGATTGGAGTGAGTGATACCAGGTTTCAGCAGGGCCTCCTTATAAATAATAATCACACGCAGAACTGCTGCTTGGCTGCTATTTGGACTGTTCCTCCATCTAGCGGCGATAATTGAGTACTACAACGGTAAAAGGGTAAGGACAGAACGATTCAGGGTAAGGGTAATGTCATAATCTACAGTAAACAAGAGAACAATGTCACATTAATGCGAATGAAGAACTTAAATATCCACAATTGTTGTTTCTAACTTCGTAAGAACTAATTTAAAGTTGGATAATAAAAATGGAGCAGAAATTACAGAAGCTTAGGTAACAGAGCAAGAGAAGCTTAACAGAGCAAGACCTACATTGTCTGGTTTAAAACTTTACCGAACGGTTTCCAAAGTTGGCTTCAGATGTCTGCATGTGTAAGTTTTATACTTGAAATCAGGACAAGCTAATTTTAACAAAAGTGTTGATACCTGTCCACGTCTTCTGTTCAGGAATAGAGTAATATTTATTCCCAAAGTGATCTGTCCCGACGTATTCACGTACTATTCCAAAGGTTCGCCGTAGGAGGCCAACAATCCTGCTCATTTTTGGAGGACACCCTGAGAATTCTGGAGAGCAATGGTTTATCCGGTGACAAGTTTTCTGACAGCTTCACTTTACGGCGAGCATCCCGTTTCGTGATTGGTCAGTCACATTGCTCCAACCAATCACAGCCGTTATTGTTGTTTTTGCGTCACTAGGCAATATGGCGGCTCATTGTTTGGAACCTATGTGAAGCTAGTTAGGTTTCGTTTAAATAACCATCAAAAATGCAATAATAGCACTTTACAGGACTTAGACGTTTTTTTAAATGCGTAAAATGGTTTAACGCAAATCGTTTTGCTATAAAATGCTTTATATAATTCGCATGTATTCCGCATGGATTGTAAACTCACCTTAGCTTCGGTGACATGCTAACCTTTAAGCTATTTTAGACACCGCTGGTGGAAATAAATTTGAGTTTTTATTTCTACAACCAAATTTCCTCAAGTTGATGCAATGTTGGGATTCTTATCAGCAAGACAGGCCGGTGTGGATGACCCTTTGCGACTTAGACGTGCTGAGTCAACGAGAAGGTGAGGGAAACTGTACGATGAATATTAAATATGCTGATGTATTCTCTGGTAGATTTGAAGTGTTTGTAAATCGTTTATAGCTGGCTAAGTTAAATGGCTTGCGACACTGTTGTACGGGGAAGTTCTAATGACTCAAGATTAATATAAATTAGATTTTCTAATTCAAGTATCTGCCGTGATATTTAGTGGTTATTTAAACATCTTGTTAATCATCATGCCAAATAATTTTTTATATACTAACTGGAATATCTCAAAGGAAGCGTACCAAAGTGGTATATTTAAATTCTGCTTTGCTACTTTATTAAAAATATTTTTTCTCTTTTACCCTCGAGGGTCATGACCCTGATACATTTTTCATTTTGTAGGTCAGAAACAGACAGGTGAGGGAACCCCTTGTCTAAAGAGTAAGGCTGTAATGATCGAAGTTGAATTCAGTTCAAAAATACTTTCTTCATCTTGAAGGAAAATTAAATAAGATCTTCAAAAAGTCGTTGTGGAAAGTGATGATGTGAATCAAATATCTATTAGATGATTAGATTATAATCATCTTGCTTTACAACTATAATAATATAATGTGTACTATTAGTATATGAGTAAAGAATACGAAGAAGCAGGCATGGACTAAAATTGCACGTCTTGTGGCAAATATTTCTAGCTTTTATAAAACAGCCTTTAATCTGATAACTGTAACTTTACCCCACTGTACCCCAATGTTTATTCAGCAGATTGTTTTCAAAATCTGTCGTCTTAATATCAGGTTTCACGCAATTTCTCTCTTTCTGTATCTGTCAGAGTCCTCAGTCTGAAGCTAAATCCCGACAGAGATGTGGACCGGATTCATGGAAATGGGATTAATACCATTGACATTGATGCAATTGAAGGCAGATAGTAAGTTCACTCAGTCATCATTTCCCTACAGTTATATTTCACAGAATTAATGTTATTGGAGTTCAAGTTTTTGTTTCATCACTATACTGTTACACCTGTGCATATTACTAAGACTCGGATTTGTAGTTAACCAGAGCTATCCACTAATCTAATAGAAAATATTCTTGGAAAAAGTGATAAGATCTCAATAGGGCAACATGTTTGCAGTATTCTATTTTTAAATGCCAATTTACAAGCAGCAAATTATGTTAAAGAATGGGAATCATGTAAAATTCATACATATTTAGACAAAGTAATTTGTTTTGAGAATAAATATTTTCCCATTTGTTAGTATGTTGTCTGGAGGGGCAGATGGAGTTATTGTCATCTATGACCTGGAGAACCACAGTGGGAAACAACAGTACACCTGCCGACCCGTCCGGACTGTTGGAAGGTAAATGGCAACTTATTTATGTCATCCGCTAGAGGGCAGCAATCTATTATTGTTCTGTTTTCAAGTTGCTCACAAGATTTTTTTGCAAGGATGTAACACAACACAGTAATTCATGTTCATGTCCTACCAATACTAAAACATGACCAGAAAACACTATTTAGTGTAGTTATGTCAGGAGGGTTTGACTATGATTTTTGTTTTCACAGGTCAAGTCGACATGTCCACAAATTCAGTGTGGAGACAGTTCAGTGGTATCCTTATGACACGGGAATGTTTGTGTCTAGTTCCTTTGACAAGACCATGAAAGTGTGGGACACAGAGACTTTAAAGGTAAGCCGTGATCTCTACAAAACGTATTTACTACAATACCTCTGTGCCATAGCATTTGATATGCATCCAATGCATCAAAGAGATCTCATTGTCTAAATGTATCAGTCCCCAGAAGAGTTAAAGCCAAAACTACAAAAAAAATATATACATGTTGCATTTAAAATAAGAAAACCTTCTAAAAAGAAGCAGACCAGCCCTACACTGTATTGATGGTTAAGTCAAGCAGAAAAGGCTGAGCTTTTCACTTGTTGATGTTAATATTTTTTTTAGCTGTAGATGCATACTTAGCAACAAATAATCAAGTTTTCACTAAATGAATGCTGTTATTGCACCTTAGATGCAATAACAGCAATGTTTTGCTTACTGAAAAAAAAAACTGAATTATTTGCAATTTTTATGTATTTTCAAATTGTGTGAATCTTAGGTGATTACCGTAAATCTGCAGATGTGCCAATGTTTACGTCTGATTAATTCTCAGAATAACTGATAGAATAATAGATTACTAAAATAATTGTTTTTTTATTATACTTGATTTGGTGCCTCAGGGAAAGTGGAGGGATTTATGAATGTCGGGCCACATGATCAAAAAACCTCCAGGCCTCTTCAAGAAAACTAAAGTTTTAGAGGAACTTTATCTGTGATAACAAGAATTATTCAGAGCATTGATCCAAGTCAGTGAACAAATGGCACAGTAGATGCATGTAGATGCCAGCATAATCTAAATTCTTGTCACCTTCCTAAAATAATAATAACAAGTCATTTTTTGCCAGACTTGATACTAGCAAAAAAAAAATTCCCTTTTGACTTTGGCCATTATTTTAGAAGTTGACAAATTGGATCACTTTTCAAAGAAAATTGGCCAAATATCAACAACTATGCAACAACAACAGTACCATGCTTTTTTTTTTTTTTCACCTTAAACATCTGTTTGATTTTTAACTTAGTTGTCCGTGTTATAGAGCACGTACATTTTCTGAATTGGTTTCTTTTGCTATGCCACAAATTTTCTCCTTACAGGGTGTGTAAGCTTTTTATATTCACAGTCTACCTCTTACGTTAATAACTTCAGCATATTGATTCCCTCTGTTTGCACTTCCCTCCACCTCTCGATCTGTCTTTCTTCTTTTCTGCTTCATGCGTCCCTCCGTTCTACGTCCCATATGGCAGGCCCAGAGCTGTGCTAGAGTTACGCTGGCACCACGGTTGCCTCTAAAGGTCGCAGAAGGGACAGAAAAGAACCCACTAACCTTTTAATTAGTTTACTCTATTTGTGTGTGAGCGCCACGCAAATGCACGCTCTCTCCTTTTTCCAAATGTGTTGTGTGTTTTGCATTGTTGTTCTCTTTGTCTCTTTTTTTTTTTTTTTCATTTTTGTGTGTGACATTTGTATGCAAACAGATCCTCCTCTGTATGTGTGTGACTGAGTGTTTGTGCAACGCCCCCCAACCCCTCTCGTCCTCCTCCCCCCACTGGCACAGTCCATGCTCGTGCTGGCACTCACTGACAGATGGAGCACACAGAAGCTTTTCATGTTTGCAGAAGAATTTGCATTGTAACCACCAGTGGCTGCCCGAGTGAGCGCTGAGCTGCTGTGCCTTCTCTCTTTTCCCTCTTATATTCATTTTTTTCAATGATCTTTGTTTTTTTTTTTCTTCTTTTTCTGCTGACATTTATCCACACTAAACCATAAGGCTTCTGTTGTTCAATTAATCTGTTTAATTAATCATCCGATTTTAAATTGCTCCTTTTTTCTTTGTTGCTTTTGTGTTTTAGCCAGCTGAAGTGTTTGAGTTTGAGGGGAATGTCTACAGTCACCACCTGTCGCCCATTGCCAGGAAGCATAGTCTCATCGCAGGTGTGTTTTCTCTCACCGTGACTTGTTGCTCATCCTATTAACACGAAACATCCTCAGAATTTTCTTGCGCTTCTTGCGTTGTGTTCAAACGCAAAACCAAGGGCAGAAATCCCTTGGTTTCGGTTTTTTGTGCTACATGTTGCTCCACAAAACAACACAGACAGAACCCCTCGCAACGCACCTCAGGCTGTGAAATGACATCAACCCGGAGGGGACAGAATAGGATCAGAAACTGATTACATATGAGCTCACTTCAGCGGAGAAGCATTGTCGGAATCTCCGCGTTCCCGGGTAACGAAGCAGGACCAGCAGGTTCGTCGGGCCTGCTGAGTGTGTGTCCTCTCACAAACACACTGATAAGTTCCTTGTCGCATACAGAAACCAGTACACTCAGCCTGCCTCCTGCTTCAAGACCAAAGGTGTTCCTTCTCAGACAGGCCTGTCAAACAGGTTACAGGCATCCCCCACACTGTGGTTTTGTTTCCATGGAAACAAAGGCTTTTAAAGGAAACTTCCTGAAAAGCAATTTGAACTCACATATTTAATGTTTTCTATCAAGTCATACTTTAACCACCATCTAAAGCAATAGTTGGTTTTGTGAATGATGTATATCTGCGTTTCCCTTTTTCATGACTTCAAAAGGAAGAGGGCGTGTGAGTCTGTCGCTTATCACCAGTTGTTTTAACCAAATCTTACCTGTAAGATTCTAGAATTTTAATGTTGTGAAAAATATTCTGACAGAATTTACATGAGGGTAATTGCTGGATGCTAATAGGAAGAATTGTTATTTTGAAACTACGTAAATAAACTATGATTGGTATCATATACTTTGAGGGCTGTGCTTATCATCTGTTTCTCTTTTATCACTGTTGTAATTTAAGACAAACCTGTGTGTGTGTGTCTGTGCTTCCAGTTGGTACCAAAAACCCTAAAATTCAACTTTGTGACCTGAAGTCTGGTTCACGGATCCACGTTCTTCAGGGTTTGTGTTCTTTTGTACAATAACTTTTGACAATTTAAAAATGTTTAAAATAAGATTCATCT